GAGAGGGACCCCGTGGCGCGGCAGGGGAGAGCTGCGAGGACCTCTCTCCCTGAGGGGGAAGGAGCAGGGAGACAGCTTGGGACAGACTGGCTGTGACCCCCATTCCCTGCCTTTGGTGCTGGAGGGAGAAGAGGGAGCAGAGCTGAGCCCAGGGAGACCGGAGAGGTGGGGGGGGGAAGGTGTGTTGTTTTTAAGACCTTATTGTATCTCTCGTTATCCTTGATGGTGGTGGTTGTTTTGTATTAAATTTATGTTGTTATCCCCAAGTTGTCTGTCTTTTGCCCATGACAGTAATTGGTGAGTGAGCTCTCCCTGTCCTGTGTCTCGACCCTTGAGCCTTTTTTGTTGTGTTTTCTTCTCCCCATCCCTCAGGGGATGGGGTAGGGGTGAGCAAGCGGCTGCGCGGTGCTTTTGTTGTCAGCTGGGTGGACTCAAACCACATCAGGGACTTACATGTTGTAAAATTGGTAATGGTTTCTCTAGATTTCTGGAATAATACACTGGGCAACAGGTGAATATAAAGATCCAAGAGTAGTTGGGGTGGGAAAGCTAACAGTGCTGAAACTGTGGCTTTCTAGATTGAACACTATTGCAACAGGGAAACCTGCAAATTATTTCTGAATGACACTGCAGTAGGTAGCTATCAGCCCATAGCAGTAGAGATGGGATATGCTAGGGCTATAGGCACACGACAAAACACAAAAATGAACCCTCTGATCCTGTTCCCATGAAGATTTTTGACCTCTTCTAAATCAAGGAGTGCCTGAACTAGCAGTCAAGTGTGAAAACAGACTGGCTGTTCCTCTCTTCTCCCTCAGTCTCTAACCCAGGTGCCATTCATAGGTCTCATTACTTAGAAATCCAGCTCACAGAAACAGTTAAATCTTATTTGAGAAACTTGCTTGTTGACTCTGCTGAAAAGAAGCATCCAATAGCCCCTAAAGGAGTGTATGTATTTGGTGATGGGGCAAGAAGGATACTTTTCCACTGCAGAAGAAAATCATACATCCAGATTGTGCACCCAAAATCTCATCCTAAAATTGATACAGATCTTAAGAACTTTCTAGCTTGAGACAATGGGAACTGGGACTGGGAAAGTGAAGAGTGCATGGTTACGGTGATTCTGATATTTTGCAACCTGTAAGTGGCTTAACTTTGCAAACCAATGCATTCATTCAAGGGTTTACTTTAGGCCCATCTCTTATTTCAGTTTGAAATTTTAACTCCTCTTTTGGTGCTCTAACTTTCATAATTAAGGAAATAGTGAGCATATGCAAAACACTCATGAGATCTCTCTACTCCAATGGCATGGGCAGGCAGGGAAACAAAATGTCAGCAAAACAGGATTCAGTGGAATATTCCGTTACAGGACTGAAACATATGTAAAACCCAAACAAGTGCTCCCAATTAAAATTGATGACTGACAGAAATGGAAGAACTTGCCCATTCATTAGGAGTGCTATTACCGGTATCTTTTCCCTAATAAATTAACTAGCTGATCCAAACCTAATGATTAAGTATGATTAAAACAGAGACAATTTCCTTCATGCCTTAAAACCTTAATTCCAGGACTGGCAGGTCAAGATCCAGGTAATGTTACTTATTTTCTGTAATAAACATTTCTGCTTACAAAGTGTCTGAGTTCCCCAACAGGAGAGCAGGGAGTAGTTACATTTTTGAGTCAAGCCAGGAAAACTCTGTTTTCACTCCCTCCTATCTTTGAGCCAACTTGACCACTGCAGCAGATAAAATTAGCAATCAAGCAGAGTTTTTCCCTAACTTACCTATGAGCTGTAATTTTTATGAAGATTCTTTTTATTAGGGATTACCAACAGTCTGGAGTCCATCCAGCTGGAGGGGAGTAGCATGCACTTGCATCTGTAAGTGTTTCTAAACTAAAAAAATTTAGCAAAGATATAAATCCCTGTCCCATGTTAAAGTTGTCAACTTGGAAAAAACAGCAAAAATTACATTTCCTGTTCCTTCCAAATGATATCTACAGGCAGAAAATAGGATTATTGTGCCAATGCATAAATTACTCATTTACACACATAGCTTCAGACCCAAATTCACCACACAGGGATTTACCAGAGGAGGGAGAAAAGGGCAAAGTAAGTCCTGAAGGGACTGGGAAAGTCCTGAAGCATCCCTTTCCTGGCCCAGCAACAGCATAGCAAGGCAGCCTGACAGTAGTAACATGATGCTATAGCAGCCATGAGGGTGTGCAGCCATCCATGTTATGGCTAAAGGCACTGAAGTGCATTGCAAGGTTTGGATCTATATATTGAAGATTTTTCAGGCCATGTTAGTGAACCATTTTTATCTCCTAGATATATGGAAAATGCTAGGATATAATGCAAAGGAGAGGCCTCTCCTAGACACCTCCGCTAAACACAGTGCACTGTAAACGCACTCTAGTTCAGTCCTGCATTTACATGCTGTCCATAATGTACCAAAGTACAAAAGTACTTGGAAATGGAAAATTAAATACATTAAGTATGTTTTAATTGGATGCCTCTAATGAAGATGCAGAGTGGCTAATACCCTCTCTGCATAGTAATTTCCTGTGTGTATATTTCTCTTCTGTTTTGTTTCAGAAGCTGGCAGAAGGTTTTCTCTTTGTTTTCTTGATGATACTTTCGATTTCAGTAAGGAGTTCTGTGGGTACTCTTAATGATCAGAAGCCCTGTAGTCCACAGGTGAAGAAACCACCCTGGCTTCCCCAGGGGACAATGCGTAACTACAACTGTGTCTCACTAGTGTCAAATAATGTGTTTGGCTGCACAGAAGTCAGAGGAAAGCCATGATAGATGAAGCAAATGGCTAGGCAGGTTATCACCAATTTATCAAAATACTGGTAGACACCAGCTAAGCATCTAAGTCCCTTGAACAGTTTGGTTCCCAGCTGACCAGCTTGGCAGTTTCTGGTTTGTTGAAAGGCAACTGTCTGCAAGGTGTTTGTCACATTTAAGGCTGTCTCCTGCCTCTGTTGCCCAAGCCTGAGAAGGCTCTTAAGCTTTGGCAGCTTGCTTGAGAGGCACAATGAGCAGGCAGCAATACAATGCTGACCTCATTACTTTTCTCTCCATCAGAGTTCCTGTCCACTGTTAGGGTTTGGGGTGTCCTCCAAGGACAACCTGGGGCTACTTTTTGCCTTCCTGGGGAATTTTTTTCCAAGCAACAGTGGGCATGCTTTGTGTGGTGGCTATGATTTCCTACTGCCTTGCAACTAACAGCCATGTAGAGAGCAAGGCTACCTAAGTTGTGTACTAGTCTCCAGGGAAGCAGTGGCAGCTCTGTTAACGGAACACAAAGTCTTCTGGGACAAAGCCACCAGTGGGTTTATACCATGCAAATGATCTCTGTCAGGCACTACAAGTGATTCTTTGCATGTGTTTCCTCATGAGTTTCTGACACCAGTCTGTACTTTGCCCATGGTGACTACCTGTGTCCCAGAGCGTATACCCAGGCCACACTGGATATTACTGATATTGCATTATCAGAAAAAAGAAGCTTTAAGGAAACACAGTGAATCCATTCAAACGAAATCCCTATGCTTCATAGTTCTGTTCCTGTCTGTCTCTCTCTGAAGAGACAGGGTTCACCCCTCTTTCTCACCATCTCCTTCTCTGCACTCAGCTTATTCTGCATCTTACAACAGTCTGAGCCCCAGCAAGCAATGTGGGCCAGCACTTTTCCCTGTGAATGACAAATGCTAGATTTGAGGATCTGCAGCAAGAGCAGATTAGTGGCAGACATATTCTTTTGCAGTGGTTCACAGTAAGCCATTCCTTCTCAAATTCACCTCAGTCCCTTCAATGCTTTTATGTCTTCTAAATTGCAGCTAAGTAAAAGGGCAATTAGGTTTCAGTGATTAAAATTATATACTTACCATACGTAACAGCTGGAGCATCTCCACATATCTGGGGGAAGAGACAAACTTTTATTAATTGCCATCAAACCAATGCTGAAGCGTGGATTGCATAGCTTCAGTTTTAGGAGAACAACAGATAGGTTGTAAAAATGAACTCACACTTTTTCTGAAGACATCAGCTCCTGGGCAATGAGGTAAGCTCTGGACGGGCCTTCTTTCTGTCAACAGTAAAAAACTGAGACAATTAAGAGATGTCTGATTCCAAGAAGTAAAGCAGTGTTAGAGAGCACTTTGAACTGACATATTCCTTCAGTAAAAATGGTGACCAGGCTTTTATTCTTTGTTTTACAGTGTCTGACATCCTGGACCCCTTTCCATGACAGGGTGTTTCCGCAATTCAAATACTAATAATATAGTACAATGTAATAGCTGCTAACGTGGATGTCATGTTTGAAAAATCTGTTCTCATTGAAGGAGAAAAATTTTCTGTTGACTTTTACAGGTCCAAAATTTGTCAGAGAAGCAGAAGTGCTTAGCTTTGAATAGGCTAGCTTCATGGCCGTGGAGGCTCATAGCTTGTGATTAGTACTCTTAATTACATGGAAAAGGGAGTTCTCTATCAAAATGGTCATATTCCAAACTGTTCTGACTGCTGTGAGACCTATGGAAGCAAAGAGGGCAAAGGGCTTTATTGCATACAAAATGTCTAAGCTAAATGGCCATAAATATCTCCAGAAAGCAAACAGTTCAGTACTCCAGGAGACAACATTGTTTGAAATCTCAGTGGCATCTACCTTAACTGGAAGACACAGAAAACTGAAAGAAGCAAAGTGTATGGCTCTGAGGTGCAAGTGGCTAATTAGGGTATTTTGCTTGTATTTCATGACACATCCTTATGGTAAGAAATGCCCAAAGCATGGAAATGTTTACTGAAAGGAATCTACTGGGAAAAGTTTGACTTATTTAGCAGTGGTGAAGTAGGGAACTAAAGCAGTAGTCTAGTAGTAGTAAAGAAAAGCAGCCCTCAGTGACCTAAAGTGGACTTGGGAGAGATGAGTTCAGCAGCAAGACTTCATGGAGTTTGCCAGACCAAGTATGCTGGAAACCCATTGCTTACAGATCCTGCTTCTGAAAGCCTATTCAGGAGAGACTGGGACTTGCTGAGATATGATGCAGTCCCTTGGTATATGTAACAGTCAGGTAGGAAGTTTGTGGCTATATTTCCTCTGCAAATTCTGCATGAGGGGGCTGCTACGGGTCAGGGAACATGAAGCTTTATTGGGACCCCTCATAAAAAGTATTGATAGGACCCCAGACCGAAATTCAGTTTCCCACAAATTCTGACTTCCTAAATCACACTTTTTAAATCCGATACACAAACAGGATTTACACAGCAGATCTGAGCTGTAAAAAATGTCTAAGCCAGTTCAAGCTAAATGTATTATAGACATTTTACTCTCTGTCCCTCCTCCTTATTAGCATTCCCTTGGGATGTAGGTGTTCTGGCACACAACAGAAATATCTGAGTTGCTCAAAGTCCCATTCCATCATCACAGTGAACCATCTGCCACCTTTTCTATCTATAGAGGGATCAACTTCAGGATTTCAGGATTTTCTTTCCCTCTCAAAGTTCCTGGTTCATTGTGTCTGCAGTAAACTGCAAACAGTGTAGGAAAGAATGAAACATTCCCTAAAGTGCTGTAAGCTGAAATTCAGTCACGTGGATACTTGGAGTGTAAAAAACCCAGTAGAAAGGTCAGCTGAAACATAATCAAAGCAGTTTCACTGCCTGACATCCGTAAATTAAGAGAGGAGTATGTGATGGAACAGAAGTTAGATTTTTAAGATTGTTCCAGTTTTAATAACTTTAGGTATTCATTACAAAAGCAAGGAATTCAAGCACCAACAAGTGAATTCACCACTGCCTGTTTCAGAGGAACCAAGGGCCAGTCAAAGGATGTTGCAAATAGATGTCAGTATTGACTGCACATGTCAGCACAGGAAAGGCTTCTGTTTCTGTGAGGAGACTAAAGATCCCTTGCTGCTCTGTGTGTTTTCACCATGGGGGTGGTGGACCCCAGGGAGGATTACAATCCAATCAATAGCGAATACGAGTGAAACCTTGAACACTGATGATGATGGGTTAAGTGTATAGAAAATGAAGTGGCACAGTGACTTTTTTTCATCTTTAGTTTATTTCTGTGTACTTCTACTGGGAGCCAACCGAAGATTGCAAGACCCAGATGAAATATAGAGACTGAACTATTCATCGGTCTCAGATGTCTAATCCATCTCTCCTTTAGCACCAGGAGTCTGAGGGTATGTTCCTCAGGGTGCTTGTTCCTTTTAGCTGATGGGTGCCAAGAATCACTTACTTTTGGAGAACTACACTACAGTTTAATAGAGTACACTAGAAAGATCTTCCTTTTCTACTTAGTTTCGCTTTCCTGCTGGGAGCAGATATTTGATTGCCCTTTCCCCCGGCTTCACTTTGTGAACACCTCTTGAAAGTCTTGATGTGCCTCTCCTGATTGTCCCAGCTGCTGTAGGAACACACTGGAGGCATTGAGTTTTCTATTCTTTTTTCTCTACACAGGCATAGCAGATCAAATGAAAGGGGATGTGTTTCTTCCTGGGTCACCTGGCCCAATGCTGGCTGCCCCACACATCCTGGCTCCGCAGTGCCAAGAAGCAGAGTACATTTCCCCAGCAGGCCAGGCCCACTTTCCTTTTGCATACACACTTTGTCACACTCTGTAATTCCTCTTATGATTAATATGTCTTCACCAAGACACAAACCACAGGGATTCCCCTGTCACATGGCCTGTCTAGGGCAACTTTGGGACAGTGTCTCTAGGCGTTGCCTGTCTTGTGTTGTTTAATTGCTGTTTGTTTAACCAGGAAATGAACTCTGAGATTGACAACAGTGGAGACAGGCTTCTGGGAATAGGGGATAGAAGGGGTGCAGGTCCCTCAGGCATCAAGTTTCTGAAACAAAGTCCAAGTGATCATTACAACACCACCAAGCTGCCACCTTTTTAGTAATCTTTGCAGTCAGTCCTGTGCCCAGCCCTGTGGTATATGGTTCCTTCCGAGTTGCCACTTCAGAAGCTGTACTCACTGCATGCATGCCTCTGCTTAGCAGGAGGGCATGCAGCAATGTGGGGACCCTTGGCTTTCTGCTTCACTGAGTCTTTTTGTCTCATAGCCTTATCACCCCATCCTCCCCAAAACCAAACGCTTAAAAAATTGCTTGCAATAGAATCACAGAATCGTAGAAACATTTAGGTTGGAAAAGACCTTTAAGATCATTGAGCCCAACTGTTAACCTAGCACTGCCAAGCCCACCTCTAAACCATGTCACTAAGCACCACATCTACTTGTCTTTTAAATGCCTCCAGGGATAGTGACTCCACCACTTCCCTGGGCAGCCTGTTCCAGTGCTTGACAACTCTTTCAGTGAAGAAATTTTTCCTAATCTCCAATCTAAACCTCCCCCGGTGCAACTTGAGGCCATTTCCTCTCTCCTATCACTAGTTACGTGGGGGAAGAGACTGACCCCACCTCACTACAACCTCCTTTCAGGTAGTTATAGAAGGCGATAAGGTCTCCCCTGAGCCTTCTTTTCTCCAGGTGATGTACAATATAAAATTGCAATATGTAACTGAAATATCTTCCCATTCTCTCCACTCTGAAAAACGTGCTGGTGCCAGGGCAGTGGCAAACACAAAAACACTTTAACCAGGTTAGACGCTTGTACAGTTGCTACAGTAGCTCAGCTGATCAGCATAACTTGTGAAGCAAAGATGATACTGTGCATTTGTCTCTGCACTGGCTAACAAATGAAGCCCTACAGCCCTCCTCCAAATGGATACAAAGTTTACTGATGACAAACTAAGACCTAGAGATGACTTGTGACTTGCTCAGAGTTTCTCCTTCTCTGACAGCTGATGTTTCCCAATGTATAATGAAGCATACCACCACCAGAAAGCTTTTGTTTAGAACAATAAAGACCTAAAAGCCTGCAGTTCTTTACAGAGCACACCTATGAGCACAGCTGAAGTTAAATACTAGTCTTATGTAGTTCAAACTGAGAAACTTTAGATTTTATGTCCCTTTTGTGCCTTCTGATAGAACAAACTTTGGACTGAGAAAGGGCAAGTAGTGAACAGTGGAGAATGGTGGCTAATGGCCCATGCTGAGTGTGCTAATGTGGCACTTAACTGTTGCAGGATTCCCTTCTCTGTGTGGTAGTGATCCCATTAATGTAAGGGATGACATCTCCACACATTTATATGCTCTGGCTTTGTTCTGGGCAATGCCAAGGCATCTGATGTGGGCCACGCTTTGATTAGATGGTACTTGCTGACAGTGCCAGCTCTCAGTTGTGCTAATCCAGCTGTTTGCAGGACCTTGATCAGAACCAGATTGGTCTCTGATCCAGCTTAAAAACCTGTGGTGCTGGGGGCGAATCCGCCTCCATGGGGCTGGAACGGGGTTGTACGGCCTAAGAGCAGCACAAGTAGATAACAGAACAGTTCGCTAAAACTGAAGCATTAGTTCTGTGCAAGCCACTCGTCTGGAGTACTTGGGGTGTAACCCTTTGCATTTCAAAAGCAGGGCAACTAGTCAAGACAGAAGCAGCAGCTCCAACCTTGCATATGCTACTGGCTTGCCATGCTGACATGGACAAACTGCATCTCTTCATGCATTTTTCTATGTGTGTGGCTTATTTCACAGGCTCCTCAGGGTAGGTGCATTGTAGCTGGATGGTACCCAGCTCAAAAGGGCTACTGTCACAGTCACAGGCTGGCAGCAGTTTGCAAGCTTCAGCCTCCGAGCTGAGTGACTTCATAATGCCACTTTTGTAATTATTATGAGCTATGTAGCAGTTCGCAGTGATGTCACAATGGTGTCAACAGTAAAATGAGGCATTACAAGAACAAGTGACTTTTTCAGACTGGCTCTGTGAAGAGTGAGAGAAGGAAAAGCAGTCCACACCTTCTGTCCCCCAGGCCCCTTCCTTGAAGAGATGGATTGCAGCTCTCCTGGGGAATCTGTGGAATTATATAAATCAAGAGCTGTCCCTTGAAAGGCGTCTGAATTATGTGCTTCCTCAGGGCACATAAATCTGTCATTCCCAACTCCAGCATGTGTGTCAGGTTTTTTTCGTGTGTGTGTGCATATGTGTATGTTTTAATACGTGAGGGTTAAAGGT